GGACTAAAACGGGATTTAGCCAGGACTTAACCATGCCGCCAGACCACCCACCACTCCTCCTCTCGTACGCGGCCCAATTCCTTTCGCTTCTCCGTGTTTGATAAAGTTTAAGAAAGCAAAGGTTCCCATCCTGCGGGACTTGTGGGCGGGAGCAGGACTGAAAATTACAATTCCGGATGCCTCCTGGGCACCTCCCCCAACCTGAAACTTTAAGAAAAATACAATTTCAACACAAAGTTTGAACATGAACTTGTCTGTAAACAGGAATAAGTCCATTTTTGTTGTAAAATCCTGCACTCGGCTCCACTTTTCTCATGTTGGACATTTTTCTGATGAGGGTGTCACGGTCAACAGTCAAAACGATCGTCCTTTAAGAGCGTTTGGAAAGAGACAAGTCTTCATTTGTGCTGCTCTGGTGGGAGGGGCCACGTACAGAGACGCTGGAGACGCTGCTGTGATAAACACCACACAAAATTAACACAATTTTAATAGAAAATATCATTAAAATATTTTAGTAGAAAATCAGCCGAGGGCCAGATTAAAGGTCTTGGAGGGCCGGATTCGGCCCCCGGGCCTTATGTTTGACACCTGTGGTTTACATGATCACGGAATAAATTAATTCCGTTTTAAAATCAGAATAAACCACCCACTTAACTCGGATTTAAGTTTAATTCCAAATAATCACTAGGAATCAAGTATTTACATTGTCTTTTTAAAACTGAATTAATTTTTATTCTGAATTAAATTATTAAATTAATCAGAATTAAAGCTCTCGTGTAAACAGGGCAACGGTTTTTAGAACAATCTGTACATGTTTATTCTCCTCTGTCCCTTCAGAACTTCACTGGTTTTTATTTCTCTTTAAATTCATCTCAGTTTTATCCTGAGGATCTCAAACTGTTTTTCATTCCGTTCAGATCCTCTCACAGTCCTCGTCACGCAGATCCGAGACTCTGTGTCGTCCCAAGAGTCAAAAAGACTCATTTAAATATAAATCTCCTTTGATTGGAGCGATCTTCCCTCATCGATTTGCCTCTTAACTTTTGTCCTTTTGTTTAAAAATGTTCTGATGAAACGTTCACAAAACCCGTGGAAATGTTTTTGATCATCTTTGTTTGGTTATTTTGTGACGATATTTGAACTTTGTCTCAGTTTTTGTTCAAATTTGATTTATTCTGTGTCTAACCGTCGTGTGTGTGTGTGTGTGTGTGTGTGTGTTTATATATGTTTATTGTGTTTCTGTTTTCTGTTGTTGTGACTTTCAGTCTCTGGACTGTGGACGCTTCAGGTTCTCGTTTTTTCTGCTGCTGAAAAACACATTTTATTTTCTTTAACACTGTGTTTTTAACTCTCACACACACACACACACACACACACACACACACACACACACACACACACACACACACACACACACACACACACACACACACACACACACACACACACACACACACACACACACACACACACACACACACACACACACACACAACACACACAACACACACACACACACAGAGGAGGTGGGGTTCAGAGGTCGAGCACACTTGTGTTTTGCTAACGTGCACATTTGTAGTTCATTAACCAAAGGTTCAGGTCAAATCCACAAAACACGACTTGTACTGCAGTACTGTGTACTCCCTGTACTGCAGTACTGTGTACTCCCTGTACTGCAGTACTGTGTACTCCCTGTACTGCAGTACTGTGTACTCCCTGTACTGCAGTACTGTGTACTCCCTGTACCGCAGTAGTATGTGGAGTGTGTACCGCAGTAGTATGTGGAGTGTGTACCGCAGTAGTATGTGGAGTGTGTACAGTAGTATGTGGAGTGTGTGGAGTAGTGTGGAGTGTGTACCGCAGTAGTATGTGGAGTGTGTACCGCAGTAGTGTGTGGAGTGTGTACCGCAGTAGTGTGTGGAGTGTGTACCGCAGTAGTATGTGGAGTGTGTACTGCAGTAGTATGTGGAGTGTGTACCGCAGTAGTATGTGGAGTGTGTACCGCAGTAGTATGTGGAGTGTGTACCGCAGTAGTATGTGGAGTGTGTACCGCAGTAGTATGTGGAGTGTGTACCGCAGTAGTATGTGGAGTGTGTACCGCAGTAGTATGTGGAGTGTGTACCGCAGTAGTATGTGGAGTGTGTACTGCAGTAGTATGTGGAGTGTGTACTGCAGTAGTATGTGGAGTGTGTACTGCAGTGTGTGCAGTGTGTGGAGTGTGTACCGCAGTAGTATGTGGAGTGTGTACCGCAGTAGTATGTGGAGTGTTGTACGCAGTAGTATGTGGAGTGTGTGTACCGCAGTAGTAGTGTGTGCAGTAGTGAGTGTGTACTGCAGTAGTATGTGGAGTGTGTACCGCAGTAGTATGTGGAGTGTGTACCGCAGTAGTGTGTGGAGTGTGTACCGCAGTAGTATGTGGAGTGTTGTACCGCAGTAGTATGTGGGTGGAGTGTGTACTGCAGTAGTAGTGTGTGGAGTGTGTACTGCAGTAGTAGTGTGTGGAGTGTGTACCGCAGTAGTGTGTGGAGTGTGTACCGCAGTAGTATGTGGAGTGTGTACCGCAGTAGTGTGTGGAGTGTGTACTGCAGTAGTATGTGGAGTGTGTACTGCAGTAGTATGTGGAGTGTGTACTGCAGTAGTGTGTGGAGTGTGTACTGCAGTAGTATGTGGAGTGTGTACCGCAGTAGTGTGTGGAGTGTGTACTGCAGTAGTGTGTGGAGTGTGTACTGCAGTAGTATGTGGAGTGTGTACTGCAGTAGTATGTGAGTGTGTACCGCAGTAAGAGTATGTGGAGTGGAGTGTGTACGCGCAGTAGTATGTGGAGTGTGTACCGCAGTAGTATGTGGAGTGTGTACTGCAGTAGTATGTGGAGTGTGTACTGCAGTAGTATGTGGAGTGTGTACTGCAGTAGTATGTGGAGTGTGTACTGCAGTAGTATGTGGAGTGTGTACCGCAGTAGTATGTGGAGTGTGTACTGCAGTAGTATGTGGAGTGTGTACTGCAGTAGTATGTGGAGTGTGTACTGCAGTAGTATGTGGACGATCCTTCAGTTTATAAATCACTTTTTCTGGACACAGCAGAGCACGTTTACAGTTTCTTTAAAGGCCGTATTGATACTTCACAGTGACATCAGACTGGGGGAGTTCTACATGTGTCTCTATGGTGTTATGACGTCTCCCGCACACTGTTTCACTCTTGGTTTTCTTTTATTCATAGAAGGTTTTGGTCCCTGTGACCCTCCTCAGACCCTCCTGAGGAAACGCCGCATGAATAAAACAAAACCAGGAGTGAAACAGTGAGCGGGAGACTTCATTCTACCATAGAGACACATGTAGAACACCCCCAGCGTGACGTGATGGCAGCTGTAAACTGCAGTGAGACTAAAACCACAAACTTGCCACAAATCACAAATACAGAATCCCCCCCCCCCCGGACAGAACCGGACTCTTATCACCATGGCAACGCCGCTCTCCCTCAAACAGAGCCGACGTGTCTCTGGATCACACTGGGACCAAACTGGATTTATCTGGATCTATCCTCCCAACAGACCTGGTACAGTCCAGTCCTGGTATCAATCCGGTCCTAGTACAGTCTGGTCCTGGTCCCAGTCCTCTCGAGTCCCTGGTCCTGGTAAGAGTCTAAGAGTGGTCCTGGTAAGAGTCTGGTCCTAGTATAGTCCAGTCCTGGTATTAGTGCGGTCCAGGTACAGACCGGTTCTATTATCAGTCCGGTCTTGGTACAATCCAGTCCTGGTATCAGTCCAGTCCTCGTATCAGTCTGGTCCTGTTAGAGTCCGGTCCTGGTCCCGGTCCTCTCGGGTCCCTGGTCCTGGTACAGTCCAGCCCAGGTATCAGTCCAGTCCTGGTACAGTGTGGTCCTGGTATCAGTCCAGTCCTCGTAAGAGTCTGGTCCTGGTACAGTCCGGTTCTAGTATCAGTCCGGTCCCGTTAGAGTCCGGTCCTGGTCCCAGTCCCCTCGGTCCTTGGTCCTGGTCTCTGTGGGCGGTGTGCAGACAGGATATTGGGGATTAGCGGGGAACAGGTGCATGCTGGGAAACTTCCTGTTGAGCTCGGAGGACGGCCAAAGGACAAAGAGTCAAACGAGCTCCGAGAACACCGAGTCAACTCACACCGAGTCAACTCACACCGAGTCAACTCACACCGAGTCAACTCACACCGAGTCAACTCACAACGAGTCAAGTCACACCGAGTCAACTCACACCGAGTCAAGTCACACCGAGTCCACTCACACTGAGTCCACTCACACCGAGTCCACTCACACCGAGTCAACTCACACCGAGTCCACTCACACCGGTTTTAGTACTGATTTATTTCTCATTTAGACCTGGTTTAGACCTGGTTTAGTCCTGGTTTAGTCCTGGTTTAGTCCTGGTTTAGTTCTGGTTTAGTCCTGGTTTAGTCCTGGTTTAGTCCTGGTTTAGTCCTGGTTTAGTCTGGTTTTAGTCTGGTTTAGTCTGGTTTAGTCCTGGTTTAGACCTGGTTTAGTCCTGGTTTAGTCCTGGTTTAGTTCAGGTTTAGTCCTGGTTTAGTTTTGGGAAATGAGTGGAATTACCGAAAAAAAAAAAAAAAAAAAGGGAATAGCCCAAAATGTGAAAAGAGGAAAATCCCTCTGTGTAATCCATTTATTTCAACAAAGTAACTGTAATCCAATTCCCACTCACTGAAACAGTAACTGTAACTGAATACAGTTACTCATCATTTGTACTCTGATTACTCTGGTACTTGTAATCTGTTACTCCCGACACTGTGAATTCATCTAAATCACATCCCTGCAGGGTTCGGAGCTGTTTTCTCCCGCGTCCGTTTCCGTCCGTGTAATTTTAGCGATCTGGTTTAAGCCCCTCCCCCTCGCCCTTTGACCCGCACGTACACTCGTCCATCTGTGGGGCACAGAGGCGGGTGTCGCGGCGGGTGTCGCGGCGGGTGTCGCGGCGGGTGTCGCGGCGGGTGTCGCGGCGGGTGTCGCGGCGGGTGTCCCACCTGCTGTCCCAGGCTCCGGAGTTGTCCTCTCGTCTCTTCCGCTTTGGCTGCCAGCTCCTCGGTGCTCACCTGCAGAGCTCCTGCACACAGGACACCAGGCTCAGACCAGAAGCACGGAAACATGGAATAAAAAATAAATAAATTAAATAAATAAAAATGAAAAAAAAAAAAAAAAATAAAAAATAAAATAAAAAATAAATAAATAAAATAAAAAAACAAAATAAAATAAATTTAAATAAATACAATAAAATAAATAAAAATAAAATAAATAAAATAAAAAAATAAATAAATAAAATTAAATAAAAATAAAAAAAAATAAAAATAATAAATAAAAAAATTAAATAATACAATAAAATAAATAAAATTAAAATAAATAAAATTAAATAAAAACAAATAAAAAAATTAAATAAATTAAAATTAAAAAAAAAAACAAAAAAATAAATATAAATAAATAAAATAATAAAATAAAATAATAAAATTAAATAAATAAAATTAAATAAAAACTAATTAAAAAAATTAAAATAATATAAAACAAAACAAAACTAACTCCTGTGAGGTTTAAGTCATGTTCTAATGTTCTCTCCTCACACACAGAGCTGAAGTTGTGTTTGTTTCACTCACATGTTTGAGTAACTCTTTTTTTATTCGTCTGTCTACATCTGCAACGCTCCAAACGCTCTCTTCCACCTGGTGATGTCATGCAGTGGTGGTTTCCAAGTGAACAGCTCCTTTTCCCGTTAGCTCAGTAGAGATTTACAATTCCAGGACTGAAACGATCCAAATGATTCCAGTGAAGGCGTGCGGAGTTTAAAAACACAGTGGAGCACTCCCTGTACCGCCACATGATGACATCACAAGGTGGAGCTCAGCCTAAATCTCCAGGGTTTGTGTGTAAAGTAAAACCACAAACTGATGAAGACCTGATAAAGTCCAGTCCTGGTACAGTCCGGTTCTGGTCCGGTTCTGATCCTGTCGCAATAACTGTAAAAATCAATCACCGCGGCGCTAAGAGACTCACAGCGGTGCAGATTTCCTCTCCTCTCCAAAGTCGCACCATCCGAGAGTTTTCAGCGCCGTGTTTTCCATGTAAACCTCGATTCAGAATTATTATTTCCATGTAAACTCCAAGGAGAATGTTTTAATTCAGAACTATTTAATTCAGATTTATTAATTTAGAATAAAAAAAAACATCATGTAAACGTGGCCATTTGGTGTCACTGAAATACAAATTTAGGAGCTTTAAAGAACTTCAGTGAAAAAGTGAAAGAGACTCGCTCTTTCTTCTTTTGCACAGGAGGCACAGGTTTCACATCTGCCATTTGCCCGTAACAAAAACATCATATAAACTTTTGGGTGGAAGCTTTAAAGATTCTCTGGGGAAACATGTTTAGATCACCGTGTTTCCTTTTATTGTTTGGAAAATTCTAAGTTAAACAAGATATTTTAAGTGATTTTTTTTGGAAGTTTTAGTTTCGGTTTTGATGCTCTGAGTTAGGGCTAGTCGATATGGATCAAAAAATATATCTCGATATACGATATATATCTCGATATATGTTCAAGAAAAAATAACCTCCTAAAACTGAAAACTACAAAAACAAATATCTCAAATTCCACCAGGTCTTTTTTTTTTATTGAAGTGTAAGAGGTCAGGCAGTTCATACAGGAACATTTAAGATTACAAAAAACCCTAATTACATAAATAATAATTTAACTGTAAAATAAAAGAAATAAAACATATTTCCTTCTTTTCATTCATAAATAAAACAACTCAACTCAAGCTCATCTTTGCATTAACTCTGTTCTCCAAACCAGAACCAGAACCATGAGCTCCTTTAGCAGAAGAAGCTCAGGATGTTCCTTATTTTAATAGATCCATGTTCCTCATCAGCAGTGAGGATCTGAGGTTTAATCCCACAATCCACTGCAGATAAACCCCAGCGATTCCAAACACTGTTGTACAAGTGACACTGCAGCAGATTATTCATTAAAATCTTCTGTATAAATAAACTTTACATGACTAAACTTTACAAAATATATAAAACATAACGACTCTAGAGCCACATCAGCCCGTTTGAGATAATCATGTGTTTAATGCAGTTTTGCGCACGTGTGTTTACATTTTACAGAAACGAAACTTAAGCGCATGACTCATTTGCATAAACAGCACTTCTCCTGCAGCTCAAGCTCGTTCAGCTTCTTTCGGGTTAAAGGACGAGACTCGGTGGAACATGAGGATGAGCTGCTGCTGATGGTGGTTTTGTCTGTAAATGGTGGAAAAGTTTCGTGGTGTTAGAAGCTTTTCACTGGCACCAACTTTCGGGCGTTCACGGCGACAGTGACGAGTGAAGGAGACACGAGCAACAAAATCAGGGAGGCGGAGGCGTTCGGGCGACGAGAGAGAAGAGAAACAAGCGAAGCGGCGAAATCAAAATTGAATATAAGCATTATATCGATGTATACGATATGTCAGAATTCATATCGAGTTTAAAAACTATCTCGATATATTTAAAATATCGAGATATCGCCCACCCCTACTCTGAGTGTCCCCTGCCTTTGCTCTCCAGGCTAAGACGCTCCCCCATCAGAGCGCTATCCCAACAAAACAAAACAAAAAGCTCCAAAAAGTTGATAATAACACCTCGTTTTTAAATTTACTGTTTAAGCAAACCGCCGACTCTCGTTCTTATCTTTCCAGTGTTTGTGTGTTGAGTGTTTGCAGTTGCAGTTCTGGGCGTTACCTGAAGAGGGCGCTGTGGTGCTGGGGCTGCGGGCCGAGGAGAAGGAGAAGGCCTCTGTCCCCGCGCTGTCCTCCGTCCCGTCCACGATCCTGCGGGACACACGGGATTTACGTCAGGACGGTTTCGCGCTCGGAGACGGAGATAAGATCAGAGTCCGAGAAACGTCCGGGAAGAGAATTTAAGACACGAACGAAAAACAAAGGATTTCTGGGAACAAACGGGAGCAGAGATGTTCCCGTAGACACCGAGAAACGTTCAGGCGGAATCTGACAATTTATCTGAGGTTAGAGTCAGTGTTAAAATGTAATCCCCTACAGATTACTTAAAGGGAGTAAAGTAATCTGAATACTTTGGATTATTTGATTTGCTGTAGAGAAACAAAGACGAGGAAATCTTCACGTAAAATGTTTTGTCTGATAAAAGAAAATAAACAGGCCGAGTCTTTATTTAACCAAATTAAAAATATTATTGATAGAAGACGAGGAGACACGGACCACGCGGAAGGGTTTAGTCCTGGTTTAGACCTGGTTTAGTCCTGGTTTAGACCTGGTTTAGTCCTGGTTTAGTCCTGGTTTAGTCCTGGTTTAGTCCTGGTTTAGACCTGGTTTAGTCCTGGTTTAGTCCTGGTTTAGTCCTGGTTTAGACCTGGTTTAGTCCTGGTTTAGTCCTGGTTTAGTCCTGGTTTAGTCCTGGTTTAGACCTGGTTTAGTCCTGGTTTAGTCCTGGTTTAGTCCTGGTTTAGTCTGGTTTAGACCTGGTTTAGTCCTGGTTTAGTCCTGGTTTAGTCCTGGTTTAGACCTGGTTTAGACCTGGTTTAGTCTGGTTTAGTCCTGGTTTAGTCCTGGTTTAGACCTGGTTTAGTCCTGGTTTAGTCCTGGTTTAGACCTGGTTTAGTCCTGGTTTAGTCCTGGTTTAGTCCTGGTTTAGACCTGGTTTAGACCTGGTTTTTAGTCCTGGTTTAGTCCTGGTTTAGTCCTGGTTTAGACCTGGTTTAGTCCTGGTTTAGTCCTGGTTTAGTCCTGGTTTAGTCCTGGTTTAGGCCTGGTTTAGAGTCCTGGTTTTAGTCCTGGTTTAGTCCTGGTTTAGACCTGGTTTAGTCCTGGTTTAGTCCTGGTTTAGTTTAGCCTGGTTTAGACCTGGTTTAGTCCTGGTTTAGTCCTGGTTTAGACCTGGTTTAGACCTGGTTTAGTCCTGTTTAGTCCTGGTTTAGTCCTGGTTTAGTCCTGGTTTAGACCTGGGTCCTGGTTTAGTCCTGGTTTTAGTCCTGGTTTAGACCTGGTTTAGTTTAGTCCTGGTTTAGTCCTGGTTTAGTCCTGGTTTACTGGTTTAGTCCTGGTTTAGTTTAGTCCTGGTTTAGTCCTGGTTTAGTCCTGGTCCTGGTTTAGACCTGGTTTAGTCCTGGTTTAGTCCTGGTTTAGGTCCTGGTTTACCTGGTTTAGTCCTGGTTTAGTCCTGGTTTAGTCCTGGTTTAGACCTGGTTTAGTCCTGGTTTAGTCCTGGTTTAGTCCTGGTTTAGTGTCCAACAGAGAAGAGAAAAAAAAAAAGTTTGAATGTTATTGAACAAACCTGTTGTTAATAGGATTTTTTCAAAAAGAAAAATGAACTTTTGTACTTGAATCAGACGTGTGTGACTCAAACCTCCGTTCAAACTGTTTCTCTTCCCAACGGATTTGAAAAATTAGTGAAAGGTGAAGGTGATGGACAAAACAAAATCCCGATCCTTCGTTCAACCTCGGTTACGAATTTAAAAAGTCGACGCCAAAGTGAAAGTCTCCAACTGTTCACCAAGAAACACCTTCCACTGCAAAGACCAAGACGTGATGTTTGTGTAAAACCACAAGAACAAGAAAGTGCAGCTCAGTCTGTTTGTCTTCTGCTCCTCTACATTAACAAACTGGATTTTGTTTTGTCGTCGCTCCACATATAAAACGTTCTCTGCCTCGCCTCTGATTGGCCGACCACGAGGAATACAGAGGTGATGAGGTTTATTTTTCTTTTTGTTTGTTTGTCTTTTTCCAATAATCATGTGATGTTGTCATGTGATTGATGATTGATTGTTTTTAATGGCACCTGTGGGTCCTGATGAAGACCCTCCTGCTGGTTGAAACACGTTGACGTTCCCTTTGTGACATAAAGGACTTTTAATAGATTGAATCGGTACCTCGGGTTTGTATCTCGCCCACTTTTACATTTTCCAGTAAAGACAACTTTCTGTTTAAAGAAAACTCCAGGTCTGTTTGTGCAGAGGAAAGACACTGATCAAAAGACAGTGTAATATGGACCTTTTATTTTATTTTATTTTATTTCATTTTAGTTTAGTTTAGTTTAAAATAAAATACAATAAAATAAAATAGTTTAGTTTAGTTTTTTTGTTAAATTTTTAAAATTTATGTAATAAAAAAAAAATTTAATTTTCTTTTTTATTTATTTATTTTATTATTTATTTAGTTAGTTTTATTTTAATTTTATGATTTTTTAAATTATATTTTTATTATATTTAATAATAATAATAATAATAATAATAATAATTATTATTATTATATATATATATATTATAGTTTATTTTTATTTAGTTTAGTTTAAAATAAAATACAATAAAATAAAATAGTTTAGTTTAGCTTTTTTGTTAATTTTTAAAATGTATTTAATTAATAAAAGATTATTTAATTTTCTTTTTTATTTATTTATTTTATTTTTTTATTTATTTATTTTGTTTTATTTTTATTTTTTTTATTATATGTTATTATTATTATTATTATTATTTATTTATTTATTTATTTTTGTATTTTTTATTTTTTTACTTATTTATTTATTTTGTTATTATATTTTTTTTATGTCTCTCCTTCTGCACCAGTGAGGTTCTAAAACACACACACGGAGCGTTTAACTCTCCCGGTGTAAAACCAGAGCAGATCTTTTGTTATTTGTCTTCCCTGTTCGGGTTTTTTCGTACCTGGGGCTGAGGTTGGCCGGGTCCAGCGTGCTCAGGGACGTGTCCTGGGTCCGTCGGTGGGACTTCCTGTTCTGGGCGGGTCCGGTGCCGTCCCCCTCGCCCTCGTCCTCCGCCCGCTCCACCTGCGCCTCCGTCAGGGGCGGGTAACCCTGCACCACCCGCCCGTTCCTCTTGTCCACACACTAGAGGGCGACACACACACACACACACACACACACACAAACAAAACACAAAACATAAAAACAAAACATAAAAACAAAACAAAAACAAAACACAAAAAAAAAACATCATGAGTTTGGAAATATTAAAGCTGCATTATTAAAGGGATAGTTCAGGATTTTTGACATAAATGTGTGTGTCGTCCCCGTGAGCAGCGTCGTGCATCAACACGACTCACCCCCGACAGCGTCCGGTGAACCCAGATACTGACCGTTTTCGGTGCTGATGAAAGTCGTCCGGCAAGTTGTGTGGGGACAGTATAATAAAGTGTTTTTCTTCTCAAAACAGGATGTGTTCAAAAGAGTGATACATCTGCATCACAAAACCATCGTCGCCTAAAAAGTCAGACCTCATAATCGCTTGGCACTATTTTCTCTCCGTTCGTATCACTGCGCCTGGTTCACTTTGTTTACTGCTCAGAATGTTAACGACAACATGTCTGATTACGACACCGACGATAAAGACTTTGCCTTTACCACAAAACCAAAGGGAGATCTTTATGAACCCGAATACACTGATGCTGAAATTCACCAGATGGAGTTAAAGTATCGGACCGTTGTGGTGAAGCTCTCGATTTACCTGGTCAGTCTTCGTTCCTACTCTCACCTCTGGTCATGAGCTCTGGGTAGTGACTGAAAGGACGAGATCACGGATACAAGCGCTCGAAATGAGTTTCCTCCGCAGGGTGTCTGGGCGTCTCCCTTAGAGACAGGGTGAGGAGCTCAGTCACACGGGAGGAGCTCGGAGTAGAGCCGCTGCTCCTCCACGTCGAGAGGAGCCAGTTGAGGCTCGGGCATCTGGGCGCCTCCCTCAGGAGGTGTTCCGGGCATGTCCCACCGGGAGGAGGCCCCGGGGAAGACCCAGGACACACTGGAGGGACTATGTCTCTCGTCTGGCCTGGGAACACCTCGGGGTCCCCCCGGAGGAGCTGGAGTCTGGGGTGAAGGAAGTCTGGGAGTCCCTGCTTAGGCTGCTGCCCCCGTGACCCGACCCCAGATAAGCGGACGAAAATGGATGGATGGAGTTAGAACGAGCAGAGAGAGAAGAGAGACAGAGAAGTGGAACAAGTTGAAGCTGGAGCCGTGAGAGACCGAGTGAGCGACAATCACCATCACGTCATTTATAAACTCGTCTACAGCGAACATAGAGTCGACACTGTGACTGAAGCATGGACGACTAATAGAAACATGAATCATCCACACGTCCACGTCGCTGCTGCCAACAGTGTACGAGACATTTACAATAGTAATAACAGTCGACTTATAAAGTTATGTTTTGTAGAAGCTTCACTGCTGATGTGACACTGAGTGATTTGCTGCTGATTCTTGAGTCTGTTCTCTTGTAAACATCGTGGCACTTCTTCGTTCTTATCTGGTTTGGTTTCCACGTTGAAGCCAAAAGGCAAGAAGCCAAAGTTTCCTCAGCGCAAAGTCCCTGACAGGAAAACGGTGAAATGTGCGTGGAGATTCAGACAGATTTTTGTTGTTACAGCCTGGATAATCAAGAGTTTTTTTTAGATATATTCTTATGTATCTTATACAAGTTTATATACTTATGTCTCTAGTTTTCACGTTCGCTCTCTCGCGTCTCTCGTAAACACTGCCAAACAACTGAAGAAAGTGATGGATTCGTGCGCAGCCGCCAGGTGGCAGCCCCGCGCAGTGATACGAACGGAGAGGAAATAGTGCCGAGCGATAATGAGGTCTGACTTTTTAGGCGACGATGGTTTTGTGATGCAAATGTATCACTCTTTTGAACACAGATTGTTTTGAGAAGAAAACGCTTTATTATACAGTCCCCAGTGAACTTGACGGACGACTTTTATCAGCACCGAAAACAGCCAGGATCTCGACTCACCGGACGCTGTCGGGGGTGAGTCAGTGTTGATGCACGACGCTGCTCACGGGGACGACACACAGATTTATGTCAAAAATCCCTTCAAGTTTACGACACAGATTTGGAGACAGTGAGTTTTCAACTCAAGACGATGCACAGGGAGTCCCAAAAACTTTGAGATCATTTCGCAAGCCAAAAATTTGGGGAAATTCTTGCTGAAATAACCTCAAATTTTCACAGAATGTTTAGAAATAGATCAAGATTTTCTACAGAATGTTGTAAAGAGGAAGTATGACACTGTAACGCCCCACTGTGCAAAGAAACACTGAAACGACGTCTTTTTAGAGTCACTTTTGTTCGTCCAACCTCGGACGGCGACATCAGTTGACGCGGTTTTTCCAACATCGTACGAACATCGGTACCGACGTTTGTTTTTTCTGTAGTGATGCAGAAAATAGGAGCCACTGTCTGTGTGAAAGTTCATGTTACTCTGAGAATCTGACGCTCAAATAATCAGGTTTTATTTCGAGAGCGAGATTCAAACCTCCAACTCATGGGCCCCATAGAATTAGAATCATTTTTGTATGAGGTAATAATAATAAAAATAATAATAATAATAATTTCCTACAAACGGCATAAATGTGTGTGTCAGTTTTTGTTCATTCGTTTTTCAAAATAAAACCAAAAAGAAGAAAATTAAAGAACAACTATTTTCTTTATTATTTATCTCTAAAACCAAAATAAAAAAAACAGATAATGATTCATCCAGGACTAAAGCAGGACTAAACCAGGTCTAAATCAGGTCTAAATCAGGTCTAATCCAGGACTAAACCAGGACTAAACCAAGACTAAACCAAGATTAAACCAGGACCAAACCAGGACTAAACCAGGTCCAGATTAAACCACGAGAGCCAAAACCAGACTTTGTTTAATCAACTGCAAAAACTAAAATCTTGTTTTTAAAAGAGAAAATGACTTGAGTAAGAACATTTTAAATTGATGTGAGAACATTTCACATGAACGATATATCGACAGAGCTGCCCACGATATCGATACTGTGCCACCAAACTTAGTATCTCGATATATCGACATTTTAATATTTTTGCAGATCCCTGATGCTCCAGGTTTACTCCGTCTGACTCACCTCTGACCTTCGACCCTTAGACTCAGACTCTGCTGAACCTCCTCCGTGAGATCTAGACCCAGACCAGGACTAACATGTAGCGCATCCCCCATAACGGAGCGTGTGTTTATAATGAGGGCCCAAGCGGACGAGCGCGCGGGGGCCCCTCTCTCGCCTATCAATCACGGCGAGGGGCCCGCGATGACCCCGGGATCGATCGGCCCCGGGGGACCCCTGATCGTGTTTGTAACGGACGAGCGCGGCCACATGCGGAGAGAGACCGAGGCAGCCGATTGGTCGAGACATTTAATGACTTTAACGACAGGAAACGGTCAATTTCCCGTCCGACGCAATATGAAAATAACCGTGTCAGTGTTATGAAAGAGCGAGGACGAGGAAGAAGAGGAGGGGACGGGGGGGACGAGGACAGTGAGGACAGGAGGAGGAGGTGGATCAGGTCAGGACTGGGACCGGACCAGAGGAGATACGAGATCTGGACTCAAGATAGTCCACAAACACCAGGGGCTCACACGCTTAACTGTCGTCTCATCGGCGTAAAATACAGAGTCCTGCACGGGTCCATTTTTGGAGACCCGCACCCGCCCGGACCCGTAAATGTTCCAGCCGTTACCCGCCCGGACCCGTAAACGTAAACCACACTCAAATAAAATCATTTTAACTGACGCGTCCATCAGAATACAAACAAAACTTTACGACGTCAAGAAATACAATCACGAAATGAAACGAAGGTAAGTAAAAGGTTCACTGAGACTGTTCCCTTCACTTCACGTTCACCTCGGCGCCCAAATCTCCATTATAACTTCTCCTTCTCCTCCACATTTCTCTCACAGCTCCTGTTTTCAGACTTATTTACCCGAGCGCCGTTACTCTGCAGATAAATGAGGTGTGAAATCGATGGAGTGACTTGTTTGAAACGATGGACGTCTGCAGATTTTATACAAATCTGGCCCAGTTTTGTCTAGTTTTGTCATTTTGTGAAGGTTATAATTTTACTTCCGGGTTGGACTCAGAGGTGCAGTATGTTCAAATGACACAAGAGTTATTAACATTTTGTGTAAGTCACTCCCCCTTCAGAGCGTGAAGCTCCTGCACATCACATCAGCTTTGTCCAGTTGTTGTGTACAGTTTTGTGTCATGTTTTTGTAGATTTAAGGAGAGTAAATGCTGCTGAAAAACTGTGATGAGAGTTTGAACAGGGCCCAGGAGAGATCTCTAGATTACTCAAACATGCATGGACGACTCTAAAGGGCCGTTCACACCAGAGCGTCAAAGCGTCCAGTTTCTATGTAAAGTCGATGTGTGGCATGTCTTGAGCGTTTTAGCATCAGAGCTCTAGATGCGCGTCCAAGGCGTCAGCGTCAAGAAGTTGAAAATCCTGAACTTTTCGTGTCAGACGAGCCGCGTCGACCAATCAGGGACGAGTATAAAGAGACACAGCGACATTATTATCAAGAAGAAAAACCCCAGAACCACAAACATGAGTGGAGCATGAATATATACGCCACAATCACCGAGCCGATTGCGAGGACTACACCAGGACCGGACCAGGACTAAACCAGGACTAGACCGGGACTAAACCAGGACTGAGCCAGTGTCATTAGTGGAGTATAAATATAAACTCGCTCCAGTCGTCGAGTTCGATCTCCTCCACCGTTTTATGTCATAAAAACACAAAAGTCTCTCAGTCTGGTCTGACATCGTTTCAGGAAAAGATCTGGACCGAGCTCTTGTTTCCAGAGCAACGGACGCGCATCAAGTATTTTTCTCCCGTTCGTCCACGGCGTCAAAGACACGAGCGTCAGGGGCGTCTAAACTCAAATGCAAAGGCTCCAAATAGAGACGTCAAGGCGTTTTTTGATGCTTTGGTGTGAACGACCCTTAAAACCTCTTCAGGCAGGTTTTTGATGAACTTTAGAACATGGCGGAAAGCTCCAAAAAGTCGATTTATGAAGCTGCTGGAGAATACGACACACTTTACACACACATTTACACACACACATTTACACACACATTTACACACAGAAAATGTAGCCCCTCCCCTCGCCCTCTTTACCTGAGAGTCCAGCGCCGTGGTGGACAGTCGGGGTTTGACCTGGAGGACAGAAACAATGTTAGACCACAGAGACTCACCACACGTGTCCTCTCACTGGACACGTTAACAAGTTAGTTTTGTGTTAACTAAGTAATTCATTAACACCGACATTTTTTTTAACACCGTTAAGTTTTAATTTTTTTTTTATTGTAAATGTCTGTTGTTCACTGGCTTTTATTTTGAAAAAGTCCACCGCCAGTGTTTCTTTAAGTTTGATGTCTTTTCTTTACACTTTTTCACTTTTTTCTGACCACGTGAGATGCAACGTGTCTGAGACTCTGCGAGACGTGGGCTCGGCTGCAGGTTAAGGCTCTGGCTCTGGCCCGTCCGTGGCTGGTCTGGCCGTTGGCTCTGAGCTTCTACGGCTCCTAACTCCTTCTTTTTCTTCCAGACGTCCCTGAGGCGTCCAAAGAGAGGAGTCCAGAGCGGTTTTCGTCACTGCGGCCTCTCTTACATAATGCTCTTACAGGGTATTCGTAAAGGTCTGGAAGACGTTGATCATGCCCAAAACTCCATGAAATCTGATTGGCTCAGACAACTGTCAATCTCAAACTTCGTTCCAGCCGCCAAAGGTCCTGCAAGTGTTTGTTTAGTTCAGTTCAGGTGTTTGTTTAGTTCAGTGCTGCAGGTGTTTGTTTAGTTCAGTGTTGCAGGTGTTTGTTTAGTTCAGTTCCTGCAGGTGTTTGTTTAGTTCAGTGCTGCAGGTGTTTGTTTAGTTCAGTTGCAGGTGTTTGTTTAGTTCAGTGCTGCAGGTGTTTGTTTAGTTCAGTGTTGCAGGTGTTTGTTTAGTTCAGTTCCTGCAGGTGTTTGTTTAGTTCAGTGTTGCAGGTGTTTGTTTAGTTCAGTGCTGCAGGTGTTTGTTTAGTTCAGTGCTGCAGGTGTTTGTTTAGTTCAGTTCCTGCAGGTGTTTGTTTAGTTCAGTTCCTGCAGGTGTTTGTTTAGTTCAGTGCTGCAGGTGTTTGTTTAGTTCAGTTCAGGTGTTTGTTTAGTTCAGTTCCTGCAGGTGTTTGTTTAGTTCAGTGCAGGTGTTTGTTTAGTTCAGTGTTGCAGGTGTTTGTTTAGTTCAGTTCCTGCAGGTGTTTGTTTTAGTTCAGTTCCTGCAGGTGTTTTGTTTAGTTCAGTGCTGCAGGTGTTTGTTTAGTTCAGTTCCTGCAGGTGTTTGTTTAGTTCAGTTCCTGCAGGTGTTTGTTTAGTTCAGTTCCTGCAGGTGTTTGTTTAGTTCAGTTCCTGCAGGTGTTTGTTTAGTTCAGTTCCTGCAGGTGTTTGTTTAGTTCAGTGCTGCAGGTGTTTGTTTAGTTCAGTTCCTGCAGGTGTTTGTTTAGTTCAGTTCCTCAGGTGTTTTGTTTAGTTCAGTTTGCAGGTGTTTGTTTAGTTCAGTTCCTGCAGGTGTTTGTTTAGTTCAGTTCCTGCAGGTGTTTGTTTAGTTCAGTTCCTGCAGGTGTTTGTTTAGTTCAGTTCCTGCAGGTGTTTGTTTAGTTCAGTTCCTGCAGGTGTTTGTTTAGTTCAGCCTGCAGGTGTTTGTTTAGTTCAGTTCCTGCAGGTGTTTGTTTAGTTCAGTGTTGCAGGTGTTTGTTTAGTTCAGTTCCTGCAGGTGTTTGTTTAGTTCAGTTCCTGCAGGTGTTTGTTTAGTTCAGTTCCTGCAGGTGTTTGTTTAGTTCAGTGTTGCAGGTGTTTGTTTAGTTCAGTTCCTGCAGGTGTTTGTTTAGTTCAGTGTTGCAGGTGTTTGTTTAGTTCAGTGCTGCAGGTGTTTGTTTAGTTCAGTTCCTGCAGGTGTTTGTTTAGTTCAGTTCCTGCAGGTGTTTGTTTAGTTCAGTGTTGCAGGTGTTTGTTTAGTTCAGTTCCTGCAGGTGTTTGTTTAGTTTCAGTTCCTGCAGGTGTTTGTTTTAGTTCAGTGTTGCAGGTGTTTGTTTAGTTCAGTTCCTGCAGGTGTTTGTTTAGTTCAGTTCCTGCAGGTGTTTGTTTAGTTCAGTGTTGCAGGTGTTTGTTTAGTTCAGTTCCTGCAGGTGTTTGTTTAGTTCAGTTCCTGCAGGTGTTTGTTTAGTTCAGTGTTGCAGGTGTTTGTTTAGTTCAGTTCCTGCAGGTGTTTGTTTAGTTCAGTTCCTGCAGGTGTTTGTTTAGTTCAGTGCTGCAGGTGTTTGTTTAGTTCAGTTCCTGCAGGTGTTTGTTTAGTTCAGTGTTGCAGGTGTTTGTTTAGTTCAGTGTTGCAGGTGTTTGTTTAGTTCAGTGTTGCAGGTGTTTGTTTAGTTCAGTGCTGCAGGTGTTTGTTTAGTTCAGTTCCTGCAGGTGTTTGTTTAGTTCAGTGTTGCAGGTGTTTGTTTAGTTCAGTTCCTGCAGGTGTTTGTTTAGTTCAGTGTTGCAGGTGTTTGTTTAGTTCAGTTCCTGCAGGTGTTTGTTTAGTTCAGTCCTGCAGGTGTTTGTTTAGTTCAGTGCTGCAGGTGTTTGTTTAGTTCAGTTCCTGCAGGTGTTTGTTTAGTTCAGTGTTGCAGGTGTTTGTTTAGTTCAGTGTTGCAGGTGTTTGTTTAGTTCAGTGCTGCAGGTGTTTGTTTAGTTCAGTTCCTGCAGGTGTTTGTTTAGTTCAGTGTTGCAGGTGTTTGTTTAGTTCAGTGCTGCAGGTGTTTGTTTAGTTCAGTTCTTGCAGGTGTTTGTTTAGTTCAGTGTTGCAGGTGTTTGTTTAGTTCAGTGTTGCAGGTGTTTGTTTAGTTCAGTGTTGCAGGTGTTTGTTTAGTTCAGTGTTGCAGGTGTTTGTTTAGTTCAGTGCTGCAGGTGTTTGTTTAGTTCAGTTCCTGCAGGTGTTTGTTTAGTTCAGTTCCTGCAGGTGTTTGTTTAGTTCAGTGTTGCAGGTGTTTGTTTAGTTCAGTTCCTGCAGGTGTTTGTTTAGTTCAGTGTTGCAGGTGTTTGTTTAGTTCAGTTCCTGCAGGTGTTTGTTTAGTTCAGCGCTGCAGGGGGAGTCACTGATTTACCCGATACCACTGGAGGAAAAACTGTGATTGGTCCATTTCCATTTCATTATATTAACCCTTTGTTTCCCAAGAAATATCAGTCCAAGTTTAAAACACTGAATAAAAAAATTATAATAATAGAACAAAAATTCATTCAATATTTTTTCTTGATCCTTCAGAAAACCTTGAAGACTCTGAGGGTTCAACTCTGAAAGAAATGTTCTGTTTGCACAACAAATGTTTTCATTTACATTTCTAATAAAAGTCACTATACTTTTTAATTCATTAATTGGTTTTGAGTATAACATGTGATTAATCATGATTAATCACTCGAACTCATGCGATTAATGTTTTTTATTTTTGCCCAGCCCTAATAATAATATATGTTCGACTATTGCAGGTTATTTTTAGAACATATGCCTCATGATAAACGAGGGACGACTGTAATCGACGTGTGTTTGTTTGAGTTCTCACTTATTTTCGATGAGCAGATGTGACACACTGCAGGACGTCCACCGCAGAATAGTTCATTGTTCTGGAGCACCGTGTGAAAGGGGAAAGCTGTGGAGTTTGTATGTTTATGTGAGCGGCGGTGATTGGTCCAGAGGGACGAGCCGTGATTGGTCATTAAAAGCGATTATGTTCAGAATCAATGACATACTTAAGGTTATGGTTAAAGGTCCTGGATTACGCACATGCCCCTAGAAGTGTGTGCTGTAGTATTGAATTACTCCTACTGCTCGTGTGTGTGTGTGTGTGTGTGTAGATGTGGAGCTCATACACACACACACACACACACACAGGTCTCTGGCCTCTCTCTGTGACCGTCTCATTATCTTCCTCCTGCAGATGTTCAGCTCTGATGGGCCTGAGCGCCGCTGATGGAGGTCGATACAGAGCGCGGATCACACACTCATTAAGTTTATTCACCAACACCGCAGTGTTACTGTACTTTTGTGTACACCAATATATATGTAATACTTTTGTGTACACCAATATATATGTAATACTTTTGTACATGAATATATGTAATACTTTTGTACTTAAATATATGTGTTATACTTTTGTGTACATGTACATGTATAATACTTTTGTGTACTTGAATACATGTTATACTTTTGTGTACACGAATATATGTGTAATAATTTTGTGTACGTGAATATGTTATACTTTTGTGTACTTGAATATATGTGTTATACTTTTGTGTACATGAATATATATGTTATACGTTTGTGTACATGTACATGTGTTATACTTTTATGTACTTGAATATATGTGTTATACTTTTGTACACTGATGTATGTGTTGTGTATATTTTTATACATAGATATAAGTCTGTGCAATTCAGTGAATTTTGTTCGCGATTTCGATTTGTATTTCAAATGATTTCCAAACTCATATAATCGAGTTGAAGCTTAGCAAAGTTTATTTTATTTTATTTTTTTTATAGACTGTAGAAGAGGTGAATATATAGTTTATTTTGGACTCATTTATATTTTTTGTGCCTTATTTCATGTTCAAATTGTATTTTGTTCATTTTATGTTTTATACGTCACAAAACTGCTCTAACGTTCAGATTTGAAGCCGATATTTCAGACAATTTTCAGTTTGTTACTGATAATTTACACAAAACTTCCCAAGTGTTTTTTTTTTTTGTTTTTTAGAGAGAGAAAAGTGCTGAATAAATTCATCGTGAAACTAAATCGTGATGATTTTTTTCCATAATCGAGCAGCTCTACATGGGCGTATTTGTTGTACTTTTATACATGAACAAAATGTTTCACTGCTGATTTGTTAGAAAAAAAAGTAAAAGAACAAATTTCCCGGAGCTCAGAGGAAATTAAGATTCTGGATCAGCAGCGCGTGAAGGTGAGTGTGTGTGAGCATTTCTCCCTCCTGTCCCCGGGCTCACCTGTGTCTCCTGTCCCTCCCTCTGGTCTCACCTGTGTCTCCTCCCTCTGGTCTCACCTGTGTCTCCTGTCCCTCCCTCTGGTCTCACCTGTGTCTCCTCCCTCTGGTCTCACCTGTGTCTCCTCCCTCTGGTCTCACCTGTGTCTCCTCCCTCTGGTCTCACCTGTGTCTCCTGTCCCTCTGGTCTCACCTGTGTCTCCTGTCCCTCTGGTCTCACCTGTGTCTCCTCCCTCTGGTCTCACCTGTGTCTCCTGTCCCTCTGGTCTCACCTGTGTCTCCTCCCTCTGGTCTCACCTGTGTCTCCTCCCTCTGGTCTCACCTGTGTCTCCTCCCTCTGGTCTCACCTGTGTCTCCTCCCTCTGGTCCCACCTGTGTCTCCTGTCCCTCTGGTCTCACCCTGTGTCTCCTCCCTCTGGTCTCACCTGTGTCTCCTGTCCCTCCCTCTGGTCTCACCTGTGTCTCCTGTCCCTCCTGGTCTCACCTGTGTCTCCTGTCCTCTGGTCTCACCTGTGTCTCCTGTCCCTCCTCTGGTCTCACCTGTGTCTCCTGTCCCTCTGGTCTCACCTGTGTCTCCTGTCCCTCTGGTCTCACCTGTGTCTCCTCCCTCTGGTCTCACCTGTGTCTCCTCCCTCTGGTCTCACCTGTGTCTCCTCCCTCTGGTCTCACCTGTGTCTCCTGTCCCTCCCTCTGGTCTCACCTGTGTCTCCTCCCTCTGGTCTCACCTGTGTCTCCTCCCTCTGGTCTCACCTGTGTCTCCTCCCTCCTGTCCCCGGTCTCACCTGTGTCTCCTGTCCCTCTGGTCTCACCTGTGTCTCCTGTCCCTCCTCTGGTCTCACCTGTGTCTCTGTCCCTCCCTCTGGTCTCACCTGTGTCTCCTCCCTCTGGTCTCACCTGTGTCTCCTGTCCCTCCCTCTGTCTCTGGTCTCACCTGTGTCTCCTGTGTCCCTCCTGTCCCTCCTGGTCTCACCTGTGTCTCCTCCCTCTGTCTCACCTGTGTCCTCTCCTGGTCTCACCTGTCCCCTCCTCTGGTCTCACCTGTGTCTCCTGTCCCTCTGGTCTCACCTGTGTCTCCTGTCCCTCTGGTCTCACCTGTGTCTCCTGTCCCTCTGGTCTCACCTGTGTCTCCTGTCCCTCCCTCAGGTTGTAGGTGAGGTCTTGCTGGATGTCCTGGACGAAGCTGTGGGAGTACTCGGGGTACAGGTCCAGGACTTCGTAGAGTCCCTTCAGGTTGATGCACTGGAGGTCGCAGTAGGTCAGGGCCTTCACGTCCGCGTTGGTCTTGATCACGCGGTCGTCCAGGGACAGGTTAGCGCCGATCAGGTCCCCCTTACCTGCCCACGCACACAAACACACACACACACACACACACACACACAAACACACACACAGGAGGGTCATAGGTCATACATCCAGATATATGGACACATCAGAATCGTTGCCAACACAGATTGTCTGTCTTCATCTACATCCATGTCGACGTTTTGTTTACTGTTGTGCTGTTCCACAAAAGGGACCCAGACGGACGCCACGACAACGATGACGTCATGGCTTCACCGCTTGCAGCTGATTGGTCGATGCGCCGTCTACAACTTCCCGGGTTCTTCAAACCGTCCAGTTGCAGGAGTCTCCAACCTGTGGCCTGGGAGCTACGAGCGGCTCTCCACCCCCTTAAAGCAGCTCGCCAAGGGATTTATGAATTATACGTATTGTCCTAAATAACTCAAATCTGATTAATTACCATAGTGAATGAGTTATTCACTCTGTGTTCTTATAAATAGATCATGGTTTTAGGTTTTATAGGCACCTAACTGTACAACACTAAGGCTTGCACTCTTATCCTTTTAATTTCTTGCGACCGCTAAAATGAGTGGCATTTCCAGGTCGCTCACCAGACGCAAAAGGTTGGAGATCCCTGGTCTAGTGTGTTCTGATTATTGACCTAGTCTCGGGAGAGAAATGGTGCCAGACTGGCAATCAGTGAGCTAAAACAAGCCACTTTTCTTTTTCAATTCAAACAACAACAGTAATGGAAAAATATTTAAAAGAATAATCACGGTAAAGAGAATTTTGTTATAATTAGACCCTGTTTACGTGGAAACCAATCCGCGTATCACCACATCGGAAATGATTAGTGTCCACACACGTCATTTCTGTGTCCACAGGTCTTCTCTATCCACACAACTTTGAGCAGATTTGTTTATGTTTTACAGAAACAAAACTTAAAACCACATGACTCATTTGCATAAACTGAGAGCTCAAAACAGCTCACTATTGTGCACTGAGGCGGTTCTGCTGATGGTGAGTCTGTTCTGTGTTTCTGTCGTGTTGTTGGTTCATGTGAAACTTTTCACACATTATACGTGTGCAGGTCGTACACACAGACACATAGAACTAAAATTTCACCTTTTAACGTGAAACCGACTGAAACACTAGAAAGATGCAGCAGCTGATTTCGAACCAAGGAAGATGACGTGAGTAAAATCAGTCTTTTCATGGACAGTATTTGTATCTCGGCTGTTTCTCGCGTGTCTCTGGTTTGTTTAAACTGTTTTCCACAACAGCGTCACATGACGACGTCATAAACCCAGAGAATCAGAAGGAGCGAGTCACAGTGACACAGTGACACAGTGACACAGTGACACAGTGACACAGTGACACAGTGACACAGTGACACAGTGTCCAATCAGGACGAGACTCCAGCTCCTACACCAGAGTATCAGAGTTTTCAGGAGTCCCACAGTCCCCATCACATCTGGACCAACATGAACTCCAACAACACCACTCACATACACACTAGTGTGAACCAACACTGTACACACAACAACACCACTCACATACACACAAGTGTGAACCAACACTGTACACACAACAACAACACTCACATACACACATACACACAGTGTGAAAACACTGTACACACAACAACACCACTCACATACACACTAGTGTGAACCAACACTGTACACACAACAACACCACTCACATACACACTAGTGTGAACCAACACTGTACACACAACACCACTCACATACACACTAGTGTGAACCAACACTGTACACACAACACCACTCACATACACACTAGTGTGAACCAACACTGTACACACAACCAACACCACTCACATACACACTAGTGTGAACCAACACTGTACACACACACCACACAACACACTGCCACTCACATACACACTAGTGTGAACCAACACTGTACACACAACAACACCACTCACATACACACTAGTGTGAACCAACCACTCACATACACACTAGTGTGAACCAACACTGTACACACAACAACACCACTCACATACACACTAGTGTGAACCAACACTGTACACACAACAACACCACTCACATACACACTAGTGTGAACCAACACTGTACACACAACAACACCACTCACATACACACTAGTGTGAACCAACACTGTACACACAACACCACTCACATACACACTAGTGTGAACCAACACTGTACACACAACAACACCACTCACATACACACTAGTGTGAACCAACACTGTACACACAACAACACCACTCACATACACACTAGTGTGAACGGGGCCTTAGAATAATAGATTTTTTTTATTATGCTGTAGTTGTAGATCAGCGGAGACACAATCAGCTTCAGCTTCTGCCTCCACCTGCTCAGTGATTAGTGTTTGATTTGATTGTTCTACACACGGAATATGTTTTATTTTATGATGACAAACTGAATAAAATGTAATGAGTAATGTAACTGTAATGAGTTAAAGATTGAGCGACTAAAAACACATGAACAGGAACTTGTACACTTCTATTTTATTATTTTATTTTAGACACATTTACACAGAGAATCAGGAGAATAAAATGTAATTTTGGTGTTTAGTGGCTCTTTAAATGATCAAACTTGACTAATGTGTGTTGTCAGATACGACGTAAAACATGTTCAAATGTTCAAATCAAATGCGGCTTTACTGAAAACAATTCTGATGCCGATTTATTCTTAAATCACAAAAACATTGGACATGACGGATGAGTTGTTTTTGTTCTAATTCGGTGTTTCTCTGATTCTCTCGTGTCGGTTTCAGGGAGAGTTTGTGTGTTTGGGATGTCCTGTGACGTATGGACAGGAGCAGGTGCAGACAGGTGGAGGCAGGTGCAGACAGGAGCAGGGGGGGTTAGACAGGAGCAGGGGGGGAGTGTGTTATTGTGTTGTGGAAGGTCAGTGTGACTTTGGGCTGGTGGTGTAAAGAGAACAGCCTGAGCTCCGTCCTCCTCACAGGCAAGAGCAGAGCACAGAAGGGGGCGGGGGTCAGGGTCGGGAGGTAATGATGAGAGGAACCCCCCCCCAGCCTCCACCGCCTCCGTATACAGAACATATATAATGCACATATAGAGGAGGAGGAGCCACATTCAGCTTTGTCAAGGACTTTAGTTCCAGCAGAGGACGGACAAGTCTCCAAAACCTCTTTAAAATAATATTACACAAGTGGAAGCACAAAGTCGTGGTCCAAATATTAACCAAATAAAAGTAAAAAAGTATTTACGGGACTGCTACTTAAAGGTGAATTACCCCCATTTTCCACACTGCAAAGAAGCCTGGTCACAAAATGTAAAATAAAAACACTTTATGATTTAAAAGTGTTGAAATGTCCAAGCAGCAAACATCATTTTACTTGACAAGTTCTCTTCAAATAATCGACCTCGAGATTAGAATGAAGCAGTTTCAGGAAGGGACGGGCATTCGATTAAATTTTATTAATCGATCGTCGGGAGAATTAACGTTCAATTTTTGGTTAATAATTAATGTTTTTATATAATTAGTATCATCATTATTATTACTATCTGCACTAATCTGCATAAATAAATTCAACTTTACAACATATAAACCATAATCACTCTAGAGCAGAGGTGGGCAAACTACAGCCTGGGGGCCATATGCGGCCCTTTAAACCTTTTAATCCGGCCCGCCGAACTGGAATAAATTACAATAATAAACCTTGTTGATGTTTTATTTTTCATGCATCTCCGGAGTTTCCCAGTAGATGGCGCACTATATATACATTGAGGTGTGACATTATGTTGGCCGCAATGCTTTATGGGAAAGTGTTCTTACAGGAGTTATTCGGACCATGAGTGAAGTAGAAGTGTTCAAGCTATAAGGCTGCACTGCTTCTGTTTAGAGTTGGTAAAATCAACAACATAAAATATGTATCTACAGTGTTATGTTATGTCTTAAGCGTCTTGTTGAATAGTATGCAACAGGTGCATAGGTGCATATGCACATAACTCTGCGGCGAGGGCTCTTTTTCTGAGTAGAACTTAATCGTTCACATTTGCCTGTGATGTGTTGTGGAACAGATCTCTTCACTTTTCACGTGTCTTGAGTCTTTCTCAGCAATGTTGTAGCGTATAGTGCGTTTCCTACATAAGCGTAAACATGAATATAATGCAGCCGAGCTCTTAACCCGTCATGTCCTGTCTTCTGTCCGGCCCTTCAGTCAAATTTTAGGACCCTATGTGGCCCGCGAGCCAGAAAGTTTGCCCACCCCTGCTCTAGAGCCACATCGTCCTGTTTGACTTTATAATGTGTTAAATGCAGTTTTGTGGAAGTCTCACAGAAACAAAACTTTAAACCACATGGCTCATTTGCATAAACTAAGCGAAAGTGTGCTGATGCGACTAAAGGACACTTTCTGTCTCTTTCTTTCTGTGACAGAGGGATGTTCTGCTGATGGTGAGTCTGTTCTGTGTGTCGCACTGTTTTCAGAGATCAGACGTGTGCAGGTTTTAGTGCAGCTCTTTATGTTGCAGTAACTGGGAAACTGCGTAAACATGCACCATGACGCAACACGGACACTGATGCGCTGTAAACTCCTTCACTGAGAGGAACAGAGTCTCCGAGGAGCCAGAACCCAAACGACCAAACGACCGACTGAAGCCGAGACTCCAGTGTTCGTGCTTCAGACGCTGCTTCATATACGCAGAGTTTAGAGTTTAAACGTGAGAATACGCAGAGTTTAGAGTTTAAACGTGAGAATACGCAGAGTTTAGAGTTTAAACGTGAGAATACGCAGAGTTTAGAGTTTAAACGTGTTAGAGTTAAACGTGAGTTTAAACGTGAGAATGTGCAGAGGTTAGAGTTTAAACGTGAGAATACGCAGAGTTTAGAGTTTAAACGTGAGAATACGCAGAGTTTTGAGTTTAAACGTGAGAATACGCAGAGTTTAGAGTTTAAACATGAGAATACACAGAGTTTAGAGTTTAAACGTGAGAATATGCAGAGGCTGGCGTAAATTCTCTGGTGTAAATTGAAGATTTTAAAAGTAAGCACTTATGAACCTTTAC